TTGCAATGTTTGACACATAAGTTAAATTAATTATATTAATGATACTACATATATCAGAAACCTGCAATAACTAACTACTAACTTAGTATACAAAATACAAATCAATAATATCTCAATTCTCAAGTATCATCAATCAATCACTAAAAGCAAGGCACGTATTACCGGCGGCTGTGTATTGCTGAACAAGTTCCCTGGGGCTGAGGCAAAAGATGCGGGATAGTTTCGATACGTCCCGTATACTCTTTGCTTGGGCGTTACAAATAAAAATCATTTGTTTTTCGTCATAATAATAGGTAATAATAGTATATTTGACAAACTTAATTTAACATATTTTGTTGGAAGCATCGCTTTCATAGTTTTATTTATTTATTTTATTTTTATTTATTTATTCATTTATCAAATACAAAATATCATTTATACAAATCTAAGACACTCGTACTAAGTGAACTTGTAAGTATAATTTAATTTGAAATATCTTTTCGGATTATTTCGCGGATTTATTTTGATTTTTGGTTCCCGACGTTTCGAATGCTTTACAGCAATCATGGTCACGGAGAGACTGAGGTGTTACATGTCTCGAAGGAACAGTTGCTACAGACAGCCTACCCACAATTAACAAATATGAAAAATTGCACCAAGTACCTTACAATATTTTATAACTTTAAACATTTTTATAATTTTAATTAGTTTTATAATTGAATATGGCATTCGAAACGTGGGGAACCAAAAATCAAAATAAATCCGCGAAATAATCCGAAAAGATAGTTTTATTTAACATGACAAATATTCGCGTAAATCTAAGAAAGTATTATGTAATTTAATTTGTTTTTTTTTTGTAATTGATTCATTGTTTTATTTTATTTATATATTATATATTATTTTGCCATGACATAATTTCTTCACGGACTTAATAAATCATTGATCTGTTCGATAAGCTGAATGGAGCCTGATATTTTACTGAATTAGGATAATTGGTGGACTGAGTTTATCATAAAAAAACTGGGTACCAGAATTCCCATGATACGTACCATAAAACCACCCTGTATAAGGCTATTAACCTATAATCTATGGTGCAATAAATGCTAGATAAAATGCCTTACAGCAGTCAGAAGTAAATAAAATAACACCCTGCAAGTGATTAATTACACAAATGTAAAAACATTTTTTAATTTCAATTTGCCTTTTAAAGAGGGAAAAGCTGAAAATTATCAAAAGGGTCAAAACTTTGAAAAGAATTATGAATTTTCTTGATGGAAATACAACATCTCTTAATGAAAGCTCGAGTTTATGCAGTTTTATGTAAAACAAGCTCGTTCATGTGGCTGCTTCAGTGTATTTTTTTCGTAGCTGGCGTATAAATTATATTAAAATATAGAAAAAGAATCTCAGCTAGCTTAATCGAATTTTATCACACTAATCTTACTATCTTACTAATATTATAAATGTTAAAGTTTAGATGTTTGTTACTCAATGATGTCAGGATGGCTGAACGGATCTAGATGAAATTTGGCACAGAGATAGATTATAGTCTGGAATAGCACTTAGCCTACTTTTTGTCCCGGAAAAATGTATGTTCCTCATGGGCTAGATTTATTTTTGGTTTTCTAGAGGAGAATCCGAGCGAAGCGAGTCGCTAGTATTTTATTATGCGAGTATATGTATGTATGTTACTCTTTCACGTCGAAACGGCTGGACAGATTCGGGTGAAATTTAGTTAACAAATAAAGCATCACCTGGAGTAAAATATAGGCTATTGTAAATAATAAAATAAGACAAAAGCCAAGCGTAATTAGTTGCGTAGCCGTATATAGTATTACAAATCATTATGTATCACGCATCTTGGGATATATTTCTTAACTAGCGACTCACCCTCACTTCGCTCGGGTTCGTCCCTGTTGTCCCGGTGTTTCTTTAAATTGACATAAATGCTTTATTTATGAACCGTTTGAAACAAAACAATACTAAATTTTAATTGAAGCCATTTCAGAGATTAGCGCACACAAACGCACAGACAAATAGACAAACATTCTATAAATCATTATTTTGGATTCTATTTAGTTAAAAAAGACCCCCCAGTAATAGTTTTTCTCAAATCTCTTCCATGTAGGTACAAACAGAGATCAATTACAATGTTATTATATAAATATATAGATATAGTAAAAATGTTAGTATGTATATATTTTCGAAAACTTTTCACTATATATAGATTCTGATATGAAAAACAAAGGTGTACCGTGTCTCATTTAATATTAAGAGCGACCGCTGTCAATGCCTAAAACCTTTATCATTTATTCCGAAAGTTTATCATTCTAACCGTGTCTCCGTAATATTTGCCCGACGCAAATACCGCTGCTATGAATTTAGCTGAGTTGGACTGACGCTGACGGTTCTATTGGCCTTAAATTTTTGTTATTTTGCCAAAAATAGTCTTTGATGAGTGTAATAATATTTTTATAAAATAAAGGTAATTTTATCTTCTTTTTATTTATGTGTTTAATAATTGTTTTTTAATTTATGTTTGTTTGTATAAGTAGGTAACTCATTTTTAGTAAAGAGCGTAAAGTTATCAAAATTAACAGTTAACAAGGGTTGTACACAATTTTTTTTTGTAAATTCCACCAAAAAAGTCGGATATTGATATGGTCTTTTAATATTTTCTAACCAAAAATATATTCGGCGATATATTGATGCGCGAGTCAGATTCGCACATAACAGATTATTATGTTTTATTCATTAAAATTAATGGATCAGAGTAAAAGTTTATATACATTTTCATTTGAAAATCATTCCGGCCACCAAAATATTAGGTACTATGTAAAGCTGAAGAGCTTTTGACAGTTTAAATGCGGGCGAAGCCACGGGCATTGCTAGTAAAATTATAAAAATGTTAAAAATTTATGTAAACAAATATTGTACGGTATTTCAGTGTCATTTTCCTATATTTGTTTTTTTTTATTTTTTTTCAATGTATTTTTTGTGAGCTTATACTGTCTGTAACAGCTTACTTAACTTTAACTTAACTTTTGACACGTCTACTACCTTAGTCTCTCTCGTGATCACGATTCCTGTAAAACATTATAAACGTCACGAACCATAAATCTAAATAAATTCGCAAAAAAATCCGAAAAGCTATTTTTTTAAATGTCAAATATTCGCATTTTAAGAAAGTATCCTAGAACACATAAATAAAATTTAAGTATAAGAACATATTTAAATATAAAAGCTCTACGCAAAAAAGCTTTAGCGTATTATTGGTGTCTGTATAATAATTGTATATGGTTGATTAAATATTTGCTCGGTGCGTGGCAAATTGAGACGTAGGTTGCGGTTGCTAGGCGATGTCACGTGCTTCATTACTGACTAACATAAAACAGTAGTTCAGTGTATTATTACTAAGTAATTTATATCTCCATTATCTATATAAAATATCGTATTCTATCTGTTTATTTATTTCTTATCTCTTATGTATTGAATAAGTATCATAATATTTCTCTATACATCTATACTAATAACAATATAATAAAGAGGAAAGATTTTTTGTTTGTTTGTATAAAATAAGCTCCGAAACTACTAAACCGATTTAGATGAAATTTGGTAAGAAGATAGTTTAAGACCCTGGGAAGAAACCCCGGAAATCATCCCTTAAGGAGGTGAAAATGGGGATGAAAGTTTGTATGTGGAAGCAACCTAGGAGGGACGTACCTGAGCGAAGTGAGGGTGAGTGGCTAGTATATTCTAAGTGCATTATATAAATAACATAGCTCAGTGGTAACGCGCTAGCGTAGGAAAGCGAGTGACGCGGGTTCAAATCCAGGGTTTCCTACCTCTGATATTTTCATGTGCGAATCATTTTCATCATGATTACCACTTCTCTTACGGTGAAGAAAAATATCGTGAGGAAGCGTGCATATCTGAAAGAACCTAGCAAATTTTCTAAAGATATGACGTAAAGTCCGCCAACCCGCACTTGGCCAGCGTGGTCTATAGCCTGATCCCCTCGTATTGAAATTTGAATTGAATTAAAAAGGGTTGAATACCGTAAGGTAACATTATACATAGTTTAATTTATGTAGGGTCACTACAAACTGTACCAAACTTGTCGTCATTTTCGAGGAACTCTAGTTATATTTAAATAGATCGCACTATTCTAATTATAGGACTTTTGTTACAAATACAAGTAAAATTTTTAAGTGATTCTCACCATTTTTCTCTTCGTTCTAACCTTAATCTAACTTTACAAGTTCCTTCACACTCTTCTTCGTTCTATACTCGCTGTTTTACTGTCCAATCTGTCCGTCTGTGGAACTCGTTACCAAATAAAGTAAAACAGGCTGATTCGCTGTCACTATTTAAAAAATTAATAAATGAATATTATCTTAACTTATAAGTGCTAAATGGTGTCATATTTTATTTTATATCTATAATGTTTATATGTGTGTATGTATGTATATATATGGTATGTATATGTATGTATTTATTGTATCTCTCTTTAAGTTTGTTTGCACCCCTTTCTTCTCTCTTCTTTCTCTCTACCCAAAAGTTGCCTAGAATAGATCGCTCTCTAGCGATAAGGCCGCCTATTGTACTATATTCCTTTAATCTGTTTCAACTATATAATGTAAAATAATGGTGTGCAATAAAGAATATTTCATTTCATTAAATGCATTTTTACGATAAACTTTTTACTGTGATAAATTATTTCCAGTAATTAAATTTTCTTCGTAATAACTACAGTGCGAATATATCCAAGCCTTTGTACTCTCACGTCGCACCATATTCGTTCTCATAAATTTTGTATTAAAAACGTAAAATAAAATATAGTTAAAACATGTTATTCATACAAAAAAATTATAATAAGGATTATTTTATTACCATATTTTTTTATATATATTTAGACTAGAAGTATGTAAGAACACAATCTTATTAAATTACTCGTGTCTGTCTGTCCATATATCTGAATGCTTCTGAATATTATATAAGATAGAAAATGTGTTTGGTAAATGTGTATTAGGTGAGCCAATGAAGAATATGGCGCGTTAAATTTCGATCTTACAAATTACGTAGGGGATATAGCGCACAAATGTATGCGCAAATATAAGGCATTTCTTCGCATATTTCGTAGTACAGTAAATCAATACGATCAAGTAGAGATCAAGGCGCAAGATAAATAGCTTTAGTTGACCTTTTAACGGTGGTTTTAAGAAACCAACTTTATAACAACCTGCCACTGAATATTTCTTTGACAAAAATTCAAAAATCTTTTTGATACAAAACTCAGGTGCGGGATTGAAACTGTTAAATTATAATAACTGTAAAATACAAAAAAATAAACAATTGAGGCTTAAACGCTACATCTTGGTAGAATTTTAGTAAGGAGTTGAGATCTTGCAGATTACAGGTATCGCTGCAGCATCAAACCTAGGTTACCATATCATTGAAATGTCATAATATCAACGGGAGTTTTGAATTCATTAGATGTGAAAGTTCTTCATATCCTTTGACCTTTTAAAAAAAAAGCAAATAGCTTGCAAACGGCTAAATAGATTTTCTTCATTTATAGCTAAGAATATTCTCGATCAAGTCACCCTTCGAATAAAAAAAACTAAACTAAAATCGGTTCATCTGTTTGCGCGCTACGATGCCACAGACAGACACACAGATACACATCTTAAACTTATAACTTCCCTCTTATATCGGGAGTTAAAAATAACGGTATGTACAAATCAAAATAAACAAGTGTCATTTTATCCCACAGATGGTATCGAGAGACGTCTGGTGGTGTACTACGGGAGATACGTGAGGGCGAAGGCGGTGGGCGCTACAGTTTGTCCTCAGATTCACTGTCCATCAGACGAGCTGAGCTATCAGACGACGGCAGGTGGGCTTGTAGAGCTGCCAATGCACATGGGCATATAACGCTACGGCTACATCTGTCTCTACGCGCCCATCTAACTGTACACGCCCAACCGCATACACAGGTTAGTACCTTAAACTGATTAAAAAATGAGGGTGTGTTGATTTTTAATAAATTTTACGGTCAATATTAAGTATAATGCCTTATTAAAAAAACAGCTTTTATTATAATATAAAAATAACCACCGACCAAATAAAATATAATAAAATAATAAAATAAAATATAATATAATAAAATATAAAAATAAAATAACCGACCAAACCGCATAAGACTCCATATTTCATATTTACACTATATGTATGTTTGTACGAGGAATTTCTAATAACGTTTTGCAAAATATTACTCCTTAACTAAGTGAGGTGTTTGTCATTATCTCAGACTAAGGAATAATATATACAGAGCGTCTTAGAACTAAACATGAAGTCAAGCAATAATTTAAAATAATATGTGTAATATTTTAAAACAGTTAACAAATATTAATAAAATGATCATTACTGTGTTAAGTAAATAAATGTTAATAAATAAAATTAGCTAAGGGATTTTATTATAAAATACAAAAAAATATTAAATATGTTTTTTTTTCAAGGCGAAAAGATTTAATGCTTAAAAATATAAAAGTATATAATATTAATTTTATTATTATTATTATTATTTATATTTCGTTTTCAAATATTGTAACGATTATTGTCTATATAAAGAATTCTTTAAAGAAAGTAAACGATATGTGTGGCGAAATCGACGGTAGTAGCATAAACAGCAAAATACACTACTATTTAAAAGCTTTAACATTTTTTGGCGCACTATATAATTCTTTAGTCTTAAGGTAATTGTAAACTCAATCAAGTGAATTAAATTTTGAAATAACTATTTTTTATACATAAAAAAAACATCATAATCGATTATTAAGGCAATGGTAGACCAGTGGTAACGCGCTCGCTTGGGGAACAGAGTAAAGCGGGTTCAAATCCCGGGTCTCGCACTCCTGACACTTTCATGTGCGAATCATTTCTAACACTTGCCTCGCGGTGAAAGAAAATATCGTAAGGAAACCTGCATGTCTGAGAAAACCTAGCAAGTTTTCGTGAGACATGTGAAGTCAATTAGCCAGCGTGATCTCCCTCATATATAGTGAGGCCCGTACCTAGCAGTGGGACGTTAAAAAGGACTGAATACATACATACATATATAGGTACAGTTAATTATAAGTTTTATTCGACATTTAAACCCTTCCATCTTATAGAGTTTTTATTTTTCATCAAAACTCGAAACCCCAATAGGGAAAATGGAGTAGTAAAGAAAATACAGGAACTACTATTATTATTGCACTTTAATTGCTATAACAACTGAAAATACTTAAAACGTCTAAAATCCAATTCCAAAAATTTTATCAAAAGTTTTCATCGTTCTGGCTCTGCATAAAAATATCCACAATTTCAACTCATACTGCCAATTTAGTTCAGAAACTTTCGCACTATGGCCTAGTTAATAAGCGAGGAGGTAAAAACTAAAAAACCGCTTGAATTATTCCAAATAAGTTACAAATCAAATATGATGCCAGAATAGATGTTTTTGTTTACATTCAGCAATCGATACCTGTAACTTTAGCACTCGAGAATGGGACAATATTATAAAATTACTAGCGACTCACCCTCGCTCCGCTCGGGTTCGTCCCTGGGATGGGGTCTGGGAGGACCACCCTTATCCTTATCACTTAGGGGTATGGAAAATAGATAGTAGCCGATTCTCAGACCTACTGAATACGCATATAAAATTTGGTAAAAATCGGTAAAGCCGTTTCAGAGGAGTACGGTAACTAACATTGTGACATGGAAATTTTATATATTAGATAATATTTTTCTTGCAGATGACCTGTTTCTTACAAATAATCTTCAAAAGTGGTTTTATCACTTCATAATTCATATGAACGTGTAGTGTCAATGCTGAGTGATGACGTTCACATTTTGGTCATAATATAACAATAGTATCGCGCCACGACCCCAGTTGTCCCGTAACCGCCTACCGATTCGGTCGTCCATTATATTATTATAGAAATTATATGTTAGTTTATCATGTTTTAAGAGCCCCCTCCAAAGCGCAATTTAAAATAAATTAAGAGGTCTCTCAAAAAAAATTGAAAGTCGTTTTTTTTTTAATTTTTTTTTTTCTCCTTATTTCACTATTTTCGACTATAAAAATGATTAGGATTCTGAAATTTTCAAGTCGATATTTTAATATTTAAAGATCGCTTAAGATTTTTTTAAGTTTAAGTAAGTAAGTAGTAGAGTACCTTAGACATTTTCGAGCGACTTCTGAACATGACAAAACTCTTATTCAGAAGTTTAATAGACAATCGTCAAAATAGTCTCGATTTTTTGCATCTCTCTAACCTTATTTTTATTCTTTAGTATGTCAACTTCAAGAAAAAAAAATGTCGTTAACGACATTTTAATATTAATATTAAACAAAAAACCTTTCTTTATTTTGGGCCACCTACAGTATCTATTATGTTACAAATATTTGTGAGTAACTTAAAGACAATATAATAAATATATGTAAAGAACGTTTGATTATCTCCTATACTTAATGTTTGAACTGAAACTAATCAAAGGGTAAAATTCAATTTGGGACAGGAAAACGTCTATTGGGTCAACAAGTAATGTATACGAAAAAAAATATAAAAAATAAAAATGCTCGATATCTTTTATTATACGTACAGATCAAACAGCAAACGGGACTAAAAGTTCGCTTAATTATTCCAAATAAATAATGAAGCAAACCTGTTATTTGCCTCTCCATTTAACCGTGCGGTGTTTGCGGCTGTGATTTTAACGTCAACTCCATCTGAATTCGAGTGACACGATTTTAATTGCCGTCCATCAGGTAATTTTATTTGGATGTACATAAGTATTTAAAAAAGGTTCTTTGATCTACATATATTTATTTAGTAAAAATTTTGTTTTTTAAGCAAAGTAAATGTTGAAAAATGTTTTACCTTAAATTATTTATTTGTAGCCTATAGCATAAACAAAATCAGCATCTTTTCACGGTAAAAATGCTAGTTCATTTTAAAATTAAAACTATATAGTCCTTTTTGTATCTGTAAAATCCACTAAGCTTTGGAAGTAGGTTTGGTTTCATGGGGCTTTGGTGATGTAAAAAAATTATAGAAAACACCCGAATTATTCCGAGCACTATTCTAAATGATATGATTTTACTTTTTTATGAACAGTTTCCATATAATAGAAAAGGATTTGTCGAAGAGAAAGTAGAAAAAATTAAAAAAAACTTTTTGGTTAAAAATTAATTATTATTTTTTGTATTATTCCACGAGAAATCTTGGTGACAAAAGGTATTCAAAGCCTTTTTTACTTACATGCTATGTTATTTTAAAATATTATTTAAATTATAGTAGAATTAACACTATAACACATATGTATAATACATTATTTTTAATTTATACTTTAAAATCAGTTCTAAAAATCATGCACATGTACTAAAACGATCCTCCATCACAGTATAATAGTTGAAAAAGTTTACCAAAACATATTCTAATTTGTTAGTTAAGAAACTTTAGATAAAAATGTCAACAGTCCACGTATCCTCCACGTCCACTCTCGTATCCGCATTTTAGAGACTCAACAAAAGTAGGTTACTCGCTCAGCAAAATAAACTCGTCGAAGGAAGATGGGGCTGATTGTTTAAGATCGGTCTCCGAATTGTTAGTGGTCCTTGGAAGGAATTGAGAATAATGTTACTTTGGATACCACTTTTGCAAGCACAGGGTTTCAGAGATTGGACCTTTGGGATTGTTAGGGATGCGAGGATGTAAATGTTATTTTTTTGATTATATTCTGAGATTTTCTAAAATGCTGCTATGTAAATGTATTTATTTTCGTATTTCAAATATGATAAAACATATGTACATAATGCTTCTGTGTATTTGTCCATCTACTGTTAGTTTTTTTATATACCCATTAGGTAAAAAATTAGTGTGACTTTAATATTCTCACTACATAAATATATTAATTGAATAAGAGTTTGGTCTTATTACATGATCTTATAAATAGTAACTCTATTAGATTAAAAAACATAAGTAAAGCCAAAATTTGAAGCTAGTCCAATATGTCTGAAGTATCTACTTGATGTTACTCGTCACGTATACACTTCCAATTTGAACTACAGATCAATAGACGCAGGTGAATATTTCGTCATCTATTTTCTTTTCTCATCAACATTGAATAAAAGTTCTACGTAATATGGAATAGGTATGCATGTTTTTTTAAAACAATAATTGAAAAAAAAACTTCCAGCTCCAAAATTTTTTTTTAAATATCATTAATTTTTTTAATTATCATTACTATATTTAAAAAATTTTTTGGAACTAGAATTTCTTTAAACGCCCGCTTTTTCACGAGCTTGGCGTGACGTCATAGTATAAAATACACAGAAAAATGACGACTCAATTTGTAGCGACAAAATCGCTAAGCGGTATGACCAATGGCATGCGTTTCAACTATTTTAAATTTCCCACCTGTTTTTGCACTTTTCAATAATTATTTTCTTAATCAAAAAGAAATAACATTAAAAATATTGATATAGGCTTAATTCAAAAGCAATAAACAATATGAAATAAAATATTCTACATTTATTTAAATCAAACACATATTTCCTATTGTCGTTGTAGACATTATATTTTAATAATTTTGCATCTCATAATATTATACAAATTATATTTTTTTTGGAACTAATGATGTCACTTAGTGATATAGGCATAACTACCTCAAGAGAAACTCATACCACCCACAATTTTTACTTGTCACACGTGAACAGCCTGTACCCGCCACTATCAGTTATTGCTGACACTGCAGTTGAAAGAGAATTCTTTCAACTCAACGTACAGTCGATATCTCTATACAAATATAACTTTACTGTAAAATTAATATGCTTTTTAAGATACTATATTAGAGAAAGAGGTTAGAGCTATTTAATTAAAGTAGATAAATATTTAAGTAAGTATGTAAATAGTGTTGATTTAGTGAACCTTTTTTTGCAAATAGTAAAGTG